GGTTGTGTTACCCAAGTTTCTATATCTTTTCTCACATATCCCTGTGGTTATTAACAAGTCCTTTTTCAGATTGCTTGATAAATCTTTAAGTTCCTTCCTCTGGGGCAACACAAGTCCACGTATCAGAAAGTCAGTGCTACAGCTTCCAAAGGCGCTTGGCGGCTTAGCGATGCCCAATTTTTTACACTATTACTGGTCCTGCAATATTCATAAACTCTTATATTGGATAACCAACACAGCCAACGATGAAAGACCTGCCTGGGTACACATGGAACTTTCATCCTCTAAACTTTCTCTTCATTCCCTGATTTGCTCCCAACTCCCGTTAACTATATCCAGTTTTACTTCAAATCCTCTGGTTTTTAACTCTATTAAAATTTGGATCCAAATTAGGAAAAGCCTCGGTCTCCACAGAGCCTCAGATTTCTCTCCAATTGTAAACAATCACCTCTTTCTGCCTTCCTGTTCTGATTTGACCTTTCAGGTTTGGTTTGACAAAGGGATAACAAAATTTAAAGACCTTTATAACCAAGCGACTTTTATGTCCTTTTCAGAGCTGTCAGAAACATTTCACCTGCCCAAATCCCATTTATTTCGTTTCTTCCAGATAAGACACTTTATTCAGAACCAGAATCCCAAATTTCCCAGTCGCCCCCCAGAATCTCTAGTTGACTCACTACTGGCTCTTGACCCTGAACAAAAACGATTGACCTCTAGCATTTACAGCCTCATTAATTCCACTGCCAATACCCCGGCACCTGAACCCAGAGACTCGTGGGAGCAAGAGCTTGGAACCTCGCTGCCTGAGGATTATTGGCGACAGGTTTTAAAGATGGTTCACTCCTCTTCAATCTGCGCAAGGCACAGCCTCTTGCAATGTAAAGTTGTACATAAAGCCCACTACACTAATCTAAGGTTATCCCGGATTTTTCCCAATGTAACTGATTCGTGTAATAGGTGCAAACAATCTCCAGCCAACCATTCCCATATGTTTTGGTCCTGCCCCAGGCTTGCCACATTCTGGTCTGAAATCTTCAAAACTCTTAGTACAGCGTACAATACTGTCATTACTCCCGATCCTCACTTAGCTTTGTTTGGTGTCCCCTTACAGCCCTTTAACTCTAAAGCCATTCAAACTGTTCTAGCCTTTGTCACCCTGCTGGCCAGGAGACTCATACTTCTTAAGTGGAAACATCCTCATCCTCCATCTCTCAACAGATGGATGAAGGAAGTATTACTGACAGTCAGGCTTGAGAGACTTAGATTTTCCCTCAATGGTTCCTTAAGTTTGTTTGAAAGGACTTGGAAACCTCTATTAAATTACATTGAACATTGTACACCTCTACCTGATTGTGATGATTGAGCCCCCCCCCCCCCCCCCCTTTTTTTTTTTTTTTTTTTTTTTTTTTTATTATTATTATTATTATTTTTTTTTTTTTTTTTTTTTTTTTTTTTTTTTTTTAAACACTTTCTAATTTCAGTCATTCTACTTTTCTTATTTATGTTCTTATACACACTTTATTGATTATATGTTGATTTTCCTTTACATAAGCAACTGCTCTTTATTGGGGTGGGAGGGGAGGGGAGGGGAGGGGGAAGGGAAAAAAAAAAAAAAAACGGGGAAAAAGAATGGAAGAGTCATCTGTCATGCTACACCTGTGTGTAACTACTGTGTTTGTTAAATTGCTTCCAATAAAGAAAGTTAATGAGAAAAAAAAAGAAAAAAGTAAGTAGGGCATAAAATAAGGTCAAATTAAAAGTTTAAAAACTGAAAAAACTTAAAATAGAATAAAATGGAGGAATTAACCTAGAATTAAATAAAGAAAACATACAAAATTAAATAGAGAAAAGTAAGGTTGATGATAAAAGCAAATTTAAGAAAATTAGATGAGAAAAGTTTGTGACGAGAGGGGAACGTGACTTAAAGTGACTGAAGGATGAAGTGGGGTGACTGACGAGACAACATTCCTTTCCTGAAAAGGCTTCTTCTTTTTTTATGGTAAAGATGAACAACTTTATTTTTATTTTTTATTATTATTATTCATTTGAAATATTGAAACTTAAACTAATCATTGTTTTTTTTTACTCCCTGCCCTTCAAACATGGACTCCCTGATCGGAGCCGCTCAGAATTCAGACCTGGAGGAGATGAACCCCTCCCATCAGCCCGCCAGAGAAAGGCAGCCTGCTTCAAGCATCAATCTCCCCCCACCCCCCCAAGGCACACACACCGACACAGCAACCGGATGGAAATGATGGGTTAAAATCTGGGGAAAGCAACACAAAAGGATTTTCATCTGCTCTGAACCCCTGACCCTAATAGCTCACCTGAGCTGCAACCTGCTCCACAATGTGTGTGTGTGCAAAAACCATGAGGACAGAGACACTGGGGGGAAACAAGGAGGAGGTGCACCAACATAAGGCGTTCCTTCTCTCCGGTGCTAAATTATTATTTAATTAGTGAATAATTTTTTTTTGTTTGAGGAGTGGCTGACCTTTTGGACTGAGGTGGTGGAGCTCCAGGACTGAAACCGCCTGTTGGCAGCAATCAGTAAAGGGTAAAGTGATCGATTATATATTTTATTTTTTACTTTTCTTTTATTTCATATTCCATTTCCATAGACTTCCAACTATTCAAGAAAAGTTTGATAACTTTCTCTTATTAGATTCCTTTCTGCATCTTGCAATGAAGAAAATGCTTGCTGACAGACTTTCTGACTGACATGACTTTATCTATGGGAAATGTCTAATGAGGGTGATAATGTACGGCCTGGTTGGCTTTCACTAAACCATGATTCTTTTAGTGTAATTTCTGATCAAATTAGAACCAACCTTAAGTATCTAAACCAAAAATTATCTTTATAAAAGAGAAAAACTCAGCAGCAACTGTCTTTTCCTATGTCGGCTTCAGGACTGGAAAACAAAACGTTTATTATCAGGCCTGTGGTTGTTTAAAAACAGGACGGGTCTGGTTTTGTTCATTTCCTGCTGTCACCATGTTCCATAATGTTATGGACGGACCTGGAGATGAAAACTGAGGCAAATCCAGAGAGAGAAAAGGGTCCAAACATGGTCTGACACGGTAGCAGTAAAATGCGCACAGGTTTTAGTCACAAACCAAATTCTCTATTTCCACAGCAGCCACTCGGAGAGATTAGCTTCATCTCTTCATGATTTTGTGGGATGTTGCTTTATCCCTGTGCCATGAATGTCTGAGGTTCTGACTAAGACAGAGAAAAGGTGATGGTTGCTCTGACTTATGAAAATGTAAACAAAATAGCACCTTATAGATGAAAAAGGATGAATAATATAATCCAATAGGATAAAATCTAAAGTTATGCGTCAGTTTAATCTGAATTAGATTTCACTAAATGAAAAACTACGAGAAATTGATTTTCCTTTCCTCCAAAAATATTATTATTTACTTATATCATTTAACACATATAAACAATGAAATCAGAAATTTTCATCCCTTAAGTGTTTAAAATAAATAAACCTTACAGTTAATCAGATATATGGGATGTAGTTTGGGAAAATGCAACTAAAATATATAAAAGCTATGAGTTTATTAACTAATATTATAGATTTGCAAAAATAAATAATTAATTCCTGAAAGATTTGAATCAAAGTGGCATATTTTCCTGAGAGAGTGAAATATTAATAATATTTTTTTGGCACATTTAAAACAAGTATGTTTAAAAATAAATAAAACCTAAAACCTGCTTAATGGATTTAAATCTAGGATGATAAAAAATGAAAAAACATCCTAACTTTCAGAATTAGGACTGAAATAGCACCTGACATAAAGTTATAAATGGTTGGCTTACAGCAGAATAGTAACTGATTCGCTGTTTAGAGTTAAAGTACCTGCGTATAAATAGACAGAGAAGCGTCCATTTTACCGCTGACCCAGTTACAGGAGGTTCGGTAAGATGGGCAGGCTAAGGGCCCCCCCCCAGTGAGAGAAAAGGGCCTGACACACATGAAGGTTTGCATGCAGCAATTACCTTTAATCATTTATGTTATGGCCATTTGTTTGCGTTTTGTTTGTCTTATCTATTGTCTTATATGTTGTCTGTAGTGTCTGTGGATCCACTCTAACTATTGGATGTTGTCCATTTGTGAAATGATAGCTTTTTTTTTTGTCTTGGTAAAATAGAAATGAGGGAATAATTAAGGTTAAACTGTAAAATAAGGACAGTTTCTAGTTTCTGTGGCTCATTCTTCCCCCTCACCTGTTTTCAAAACAAAGCAGGAGTTAAATGTGTTAAAGATAATGCACAGCTGTTTGAATTGGTAATAAAGGGGATTGACATAAGGTTCAAATATCACAACAAATAAAGTTTAATGAGACAGATTTTAAAAAATTAAATCAAATGAACAGATTATGCTTGTTTAACAATAATTGGGCATTTCTTCAAATAATCAAGGACCTGTGTCATTATTTAAAAGCTAAATGCTAAAGTTTAATTTGTTAACCTTAATTCTTTAAGATTTAGATTAAACTTTAATGGTAAATAAATCTATATGTGTGTAGCGCAAATAGCTTGTATAAAAATAAATTAGGCTGATTGAATTTGCTTTTACATTATTTACAATTCTTTAAGAAGTAAATCTATCTTAAGCTGATCTGGAATAAATATGCAAATTTATTTAACATAATTATTGGTTAATAATTATACGGTGTCCAAATGACTCAATTGGAAATAATGATGATAATAGCATTATTTAATAATAATAATAACGATAACATTAATAATAATGATTATAATGATAGAGGATATAAATAACAGGATTTAATTCCTACATTAAGATGAATGGTGGAGACTTTAAAATGATCTATTCTCAATGGATCCATAGCTCAGATATATCTGGAGGTTAAATTGACTTGACTTAAATTGTTGTTGTTCTTCAACAGAACATATTTTATTTGTTCTGATGAAGAAAAGGGTGGAAAGAAGATAAAACAAGAGAAAAACAGCAAAGCTAAACTAATAAGGATCCATATAGATGCTGTTTATTTTTCCATCTGGAACAGTCCATGTGGAATTTGGGTTGATAATTGAGAGCAGAATAAATAAACAACCTAAAGAAACGACTGCTAGACTTCTGGATGAAGTTTGAACACCTCAGCCTGACTGTCTGATGTGCGTTTGGGAAAAACCAGCTTTGTTGATGTTTGTTGATGGTTCAGCTTCTTGGACCCCTGGTTTGGTGTTTCTTCACCTCATGAAACTCTTGTTTCTGGTTCTTTGATTTTGCTTCGCCTTGGAAACATCGTTCTTGAAATCGGATGGAAAGCCTATATTCTTCTTCCACACACATCATGTCTGGTGGAAGCAACAGAGAAGGCTGTGCTTGTTTACATTGCTGCAGCCCACTGACACACACAGTCCTCTGCTGAGGAGAAGTTTGTTTGGATTTCTGCAGGTGCAGAAGTGATAAGGGTACTGAACACTAAGGAAGTACATTTACTGGGTAAGTTTGAAATGATGGAATAATTCAATGATTTGTGACAAAGTTTAAAATTCAAATTTTAATCTAAAGTTCTTTAAGCTACATGAACTTGTTTTGATCTACTATTGTTTGTGAAAGGGTAAGATAACATCTGATCTTTCCTTCCCTCAGCTCCTTTAATTCAGCATGTTGGTAACTTTGACTCCCAGTTTTCCTCCCCATGAGCTCATGACGGATCGACCCGTTCCTGGACCACAGAACGGGCCAGACCACTGACCTCTGGCCAGACTGGGACTGACAGGTGACACATTAAAATGACCTACAAGACCTTTTTTTCCCCTTAGTCAGAGAAGGCTTTACAGAGGGACCAAGGTGCCTGGAGACCCTAATGCAGGACCATCACAGCCATCCTTCCATCCTTCAGCAGGAGGAGGTGTGGCTCAAAGTCAATAAAAGAAAGTGATCAGAGCTCATCGGAGCTCATCTGGAAGGAACCAGGAAAAGCTTCAACAAAAGAAATCAGAATAAAGGGGCAGAATAATCCCCTCTGATTGGTTAATTAACACATCAGTAGTCCACCTGATGTGTTGAGGACCAGCTGTTCTGTAGACAACGTTCAAAATGTCGCCTGTATAAGGGACCAACATCAACAGAAAGATGAAGACGCCCACCTGAAGATGTCTGACATCAGCTTTGGCTTTTTGATTTTTAATCATACAACATGAATGAGAAGGGAAATGTGTTGTGATGTGTTGCATTTTAATCAAAGATTAACATTTTTAGTGTCTAAGTGTTTGATATTACTTTTCTTGATAATAAAAGAAAGTCCAAGTGTTAGATGAGCACCTGATGGCTGATGGTCAGTATAGATGAGCACCTGATGGCTGATGGTCAGTATTGGCAGAGATTTCTGGATCAGAGAATGAACTCTGATGATCGGGTCTCAGCTACCATTGGGGAAGAGGAGCTGAGATTAAATCCTCCAACTTTTTAATGTGTGCTTTGACTGAGCCTGATTCTGAAGAGCTGAACTCGCCATCTGCGTGAAACATCTTTGTGTTATGATTTTAACATTTTGCATAGAGATTGATCTTCTTTTACTTTTAATGAAACTCAGATTAATAATTTGACTTATAGTTTATAGACATGAAGGGATCTATTGTTTTGACTGATTTGAACTTTTCTCTTTCCAGGGAAACAGCCACCCTCTGCACGCCGCCATCAGCTGCCACCCTCTGCACGCCGCCATCAGCTGCCACCCTCTGCACGCCGCCATCAGCAGCCACCCTCTGCACGCCGCCATCAGCAGCCACCCTCTGCACACCGCCATCAGCTGCCACCCTCTGCACGCCGCCATCAGCTGCCACCCTCTGCACGCCGCCATCAGCTGCCACCCTCTGCACACCGCCATCAGCTGCCACCCTCTGCACGCCGCCATCAGCTGCCACCCTCTGCACGCCGCCATCAGCTGCCACCCTCTGCACACCGCCATCAGCTGCCACCCTCTGCACGCCGCCATCAGCTGCCACCCTCTGCACGCCGCCATCAGCTGCCACCCTCTGCACACCGCCATCAGCTGCCACCCTCTGCACGCCGCCATCAGCAGCCACCCTCTGCACGCCGCCATCAGCAGCCACCCTCTGCACGCCGCCATCAGCAGCCACCCTCTGCACGCCGCCATCAGCTGCCACCCTCTGCACGCCGCCATCAGCTGCCACCCTCTGCACGCCGCCATCAGCAGCCACCCTCTGCACGCCGCCATCAGCTGCCACCCTCTGCACCCCGCCATCAGCTGCCACCCTCTGCACACCACCCTGCCACCCTCTGCACACCGCCATCAGCTGCCACCCTCTGCACACCGCCCTGCCACCCTCTGCACGCCGCCATCAGCTGCCACCCTCTGCACACCGCCCTGCCACCCTCTGCACACCGCCATCAGCTGCCACCCTCTGCACGCCGCCATACGCCGCCATCAGCAGCCACCCTCTGCACGCCGCCATCAGCAGCCACCCTCTGCACGCCGCCATCAGCTGCCACCCTCTGCACGCCGCCATCAGCTGCCACCCTCTGCACGCCGCCATCAGCAGCCACCCTCTGCACGCCGCCATCAGCTGCCACCCTCTGCACGCCGCCATCAGCTGCCACCCTCTGCACACCACCCTGCCACCCTCTGCACACCGCCATCAGCTGCCACCCTCTGCACACCGCCCTGCCACCCTCTGCACGCCGCTATCAGCAGCCACCCTCTGCACACCGCCCTGCCACCCTCTGCACGCCGCCATCAGCAGCCACCCTCTGCACGCCGCCATCAGCTGCCACCCTCTGCACACCGCCATCAGCTGCCACCCTCTGCACACCGCCCTGCCACCCTCTGCACGCCGCTATCAGCAGCCACCCTCTGCACACCGCCCTGCCACCCTCTGCACGCCGCCATCAGCAGCCACCCTCTGCACGCCGCCATCAGCTGCCACCCTCTGCACCCCGCCATCAGCTGCCACCCTCTGCACACCACCCTGCCACCCTCTGCACGCCGCCATCAGCTGCCACCCTCTGCACCCCGCCATCAGCTGCCACCCTCTGCACACCACCCTGCCACCCTCTGCACACCGCCATCAGCTGCCACCCTCTGCACACCGCCCTGCCACCCTCTGCACGCCGCCATCAGCTGCCACCCTCTGCACACCGCCCTGCCACCCTCTGCACGCCGCTATCAGCTGCCACCCTCTGCACACCGCCCTGCCACCCTCTGCACGCCGCTATCAGCAGCCACCCTCTGCACACCGCCCTGCCACCCTCTGCACACCGCCATCAGCAGCCACCCTCTGCACACCGCCATCAGCTGCCACCCTCTGCACGCCGCCATCAGCTGCCACCCTCTGCACGCCGCTATCAGCTGCCACCCTCTGCACACCGCTATCAGCTGCCACCCTCTGCACGCCGCTATCAGCTGCCACCCTCTGCACGCCGCTATCAGCTGCCACCCTCTGCACGCCGCCATCAGCTGCCACCCTCTGCACACCGCCCTGCCACCCTCTGCACACCGCCATCAGCTGCCACCCTCTGCACACCGCCCTGCCACCCTCTGCACACCGCCATCAGCAGCCACCCTCTGCACACCGCCCTGCCACCCTCTGCACACCGCCATCAGCAGCCACCCTCTGCACACCGCCCTGCCACCCTCTGCACACCGCCATCAGCAGCCACCCTCTGCACGCCGCCATACGCCGCCATCAGCAGCCACCCTCTGCACGCCGCCATCAGCTGCCACCCTCTGCACGCCGCCATCAGCAGCCACCCTCTGCACGCCGCCATACGCCGCCATCAGCAGCCACCCTCTGCACGCCGCCATCAGCAGCCACCCTCTGCACGCCGCCATCAGCTGCCACCCTCTGCACACCGCCCTGCCACCCTCTGCACACCGCCATCAGCTGCCACCCTCTGCACACCGCCCTGCCACCCTCTGCACGCCGCCATCAGCTGCCACCCTCTGCACACCGCCCTGCCACCCTCTGCACACCGCCATCAGCTGCCACCCTCTGCACACCGCCATCAGCTGCCACCCTCTGCACACCGCCCTGCCACCCTCTGCACACCGCCCTGCCACCCTCTGCACACCGCCATCAGCTGCCACCCTCTGCACACCGCCCTGCCACCCTCTGCACACCGCCATCAGCTGCCACCCTCTGCACGCCGCCATCAGCTGCCACCCTCTGCACACCGCCCTGCCACCCTCTGCACGCCGCCATCAGCAGCCACCCTCTGCACACCGCCCTGCCACCCTCTGCACACCGCCATCAGCAGCCACCCTCTGCACGCCGCCATACGCCGCCATCAGCAGCCACCCTCTGCACGCCGCCATACGCCGCCATCAGCAGCCACCCTCTGCACGCCGCCATACGCCGCCATCAGCAGCCACCCTCTGCACGCCGCCATCAGCAGCCACCCTCTGCACGCCGCCATCAGCTGCCACCCTCTGCACGCCGCCATCAGCAGTCCTGAAATACGGAAGAATAAAATACGGGGGACAAAAGCAGAAACCCTGATACCAAACGTCAGAGCTGACGGTGAGGAAGGAGGCTCTGGAATTCAAACAGGGCTCTAAACCTGAGCTCAGACTCACCAGCCAGGGGTGGGGAATGTCGGGAAGGGGCATCTGAGGAGGGGCCGGCATGCCGCTGTGGATCTCAGACTTGAAGGAAGGTTCTGCAAAGAAAAGTAATGAACTGGTCAGTAAATGGTCAGAACATCAGGCCCCGTTTCAACCGTACAGAGATAGGAGTTTAAGATCAGCTTCCATGTCTCCTTTTCTCACCTTTTTCTGAAAGGACACGATTCAGGATGTTGGACAGGTGCACCTTCTTTTCCCGGACCCCGGCACTCAGGTATTCCCGATCCAGCAGGTCCAGGAACAGGCGAAGCTCTGTCACCAGCTCCTCCATGGCTGCAGAACGAACAGAACGCTGCTGTTAGTTTTTCTTTATGGCTTAAACATGAAGGTGAGTTAAATCCCAGCTGGACAACCAGTCACACCATGTCCACCATCTACAGCCCAGATCAGATCCTCAGGTAACCTTCCTGCTCCTGCAAACTGAAGCAAGAGGCAACTGGTTTTCATAGTTTCTCCCATTAAAACCAGAGACATCCCGAAGTATCGTCTTTAAAAACCAGTATCAGCTTTTTATGACGTCACCACAGCAGCCAGGAAAGGCTTTGTTCAGCTAAGTTCATATTTATCACCGTTTTTTACATGAACTCTGAGGAGCTTCTGCTCTAGAAAAATATGCCCACATCATGATGCTGCCTTCACTCTGCTTCAGCACATCTTTGCTTGCTTGTGTCCTTTATGACTTGTCTTCTGTTTTGCCTGCAACTAAAGCTTCCTCTGGCCCATCGTCTATGAAAGGTCCGACTCAGGGACCGTGAGACGCTGCTCTGAGTTGGTCTGTAGTGAAACTTTGCACAAATGGGACAAACTGTGGAGAAGATCAGACGGCATGAAGCACTGGAAACAGTCCTTTAATAACATTCAGTGATTTCCAGAAATGGACCAACTGCTTAAGCATGAAGGTCCAGTGCTGTGAAAGTTTCCACAGACCAGAACAACAGCTGCTGGGCTTTGCTAGACTGGAAACCAGTAGCGCTCCATACATTCAGCAGGGTTAGCCTCACTGACAACGCGGTCCTCTGGATCCAACATGAGCTGGATGTAAACACCTGATTGGCCGGTGCTTCTAATGGGTCATTTCAAGTCACCTGACTCTGAAGAGAACGTTCAGCCAGACGGGTCATTATGATGACATCATAACAAAGTTCCTAAAGTTGAGTTCCCACAGCGGCAGTCTGGGAACAATCGAGCCGTTTCAGAGGCTGCAAGCAGCCATGAGAGCTCAGGAATGTGGAGGGGAGAGAGAGGCCGCTCAGAGCGCCGCCACATGACATGTGGTCAGCATGATGACAGACTGCAACTTCAGCGCGCAGCAGAGGAGCTCCACTCCCGCCAGGGTGCATGTGATGTATGCTAGGTTCATTATGTAAGCAGCGTCAGCATTTGGAGCGGACATCTTTGCTACAAGCAATGCAAAAGACCGACGCTTTTCTCAAGAATGTCTGAACACTGCAGCGCTGTTAGAAAGAGCAGCTAAACCACCTGATTATTATCAGGAAAAGAAAGCAAGTCCAACCAGAAGGAGTGATTGGCAGACCGACCAATGAGGAGACACTTTCAACTGTCCTTTAAAAAAGGGTGAAAAAACAAACTGGTGGAAAAGTAAGGATGAAAATAAAGGATTTCTAAGTTAAAATCTAAACCTTTAGGCTGAGTCTTATAGAGTTAGATCATCATGAAGAAAACCAGGTCCTGTTCTGTCAGTCTAGGTCTATAATCATGTTCTAAACTTAGAAGACTTGAATATTTTATAGGAATTAAAGGAACAGCACTAAACCGGTTTAATAAAATAAATGGGAGTATTTAGGACAGCAGCTCTGCTGTGATATTTCAGCTTTATGGATAAATTCCCAGATTTATTTGGTCTAGACTTTGCTTCAAGAAGAGAATCATAACGTTTATTTTCCGTTTAGTCGTAGAGAAACTACTAATGTAACTTATTGGTATAGGAGTTACTGAAGCTAAGCTTTGGATGAGCTCAGCCCAGATCAGGGTCATAGTCGGAGTTTCTGCTGTGTGAACAAATAAGCTAATTATTTTACAATCAGAAAAAGTGAAACATGTCTGTAAAGTTCCTGCGTCGCCACCTGATGCTGCTTTGCTGCAAAAATACAGTCAAGTGTCTTGTTTTTACACAAACTGCTGCCAACAAAGCAGATTTAGTCACTTTCATGAAAGTTTTCCCAGCATGCAAAGCGACTCTCCTTCCGGCTCATTTATTGCCTCAAACAGCTTTTCTTTTTTTAACCCCTGCAGCACTTGGGTGGTGGAAATGTTACACCTATGAGTTTATGGGTAACAGTCATTAACAGCTTTAAGCACGCGCTCCACAGACGCCTCAGAAAACAAAGTAACCCCCCCACCCCCCCAGTTAGGGCCTGGGGGCCTAAACAAAGACGAAACGTGCTGCACCATCACTTCCGAAAAATAAGAAACACTTCCTGCTCCTGAAAACATTTCCTTTCTTTGTTACTGCTGTAGGGGGACTTCTATTAAACTCATTTCTATACAGTAAACAATGCATCATGTGACAGAAAAGAATTGGTATAACTTACAGTCCAGTCCCAAAGCTCCTGGTCAGAGGGAGTGGCTGCGGCGGTGTGGTTGAGTGGCGGCGTCACAAATGGAAATACATTTTGCTGTCATTTCCACATTTCTAATCCAATCTATAGTCAATATGTTCCAAAGGTGCACAGGAATCCAGGCCAATATTTAGTGGGCGTGGCTTAATTTCTCTACAGCGCCCCCTAGAACCACCAACAAGTATCCCTCAGCCATGCTTAGCCCTCATTTTTAAATGGGTCATTTTTACATTTAGATGTTTATTTTTTGCGGAATTTATTCTAAATCCACTCTTAACAGAAGATAGGGGGGGGGCAGGAACATGAACTGATTGAAACTGGACCAATTATCCGACACTGGGAGGCAGAATGACCCAGAATGATATTCTCCCCTAAATGGAGCCCATCCAGCCGCGCTGCACAGCGGAGCAGCAGCAACTTCTCTAAATGAACAGAGTGAACGGCAGGAGGCATGAAGCCATCAGCAGCGAATCTTTATTCCAGCTTGGAGGACCGACTAATGAGAAATTAACCAGCTACCATATCAGCATGAATCATTTGCTCATTTTTTACTGTAAAATGTTATAAAAGGTTTGATCTGATGACATCACTCAGCAGTCAACAGCAGGCCTGAGAACAACTGACACGTTTTCAACCAATGAGTTCCAGAAACTTCAAACAGAAGCAGAGTTTCTATCAGCAAGATGCAGGACGTTATCATCCGATATTTGATTTCCTGCTAATATCAGAGCAATATCTGATACTGATATCGGACCAGGACTCCCTAATTAGCAGAATAGATGAAGCCAGGTTTTAAAATTCCTCTGAAAGAAAACCGAACCAGAAAAACGTGATGCTTCCATCGCTGATTGTTGGATTGTCCTGAAAAGCTTAGCTTAGCGTGCAGCTCGGCTCTGCAGATCATGTTATCTTTTCCATCTGCCTAATGAGGAAAGCTCCTCCTAAAAGGCTTTTATCTTCTTCCGGTACAGAAAAAGACGCGTTTTTTTCCAGCTTCATTTGCAGACGTTTCCTTTCCGGTCTTATTATGCTGTTGTGAAGCTGCAGGAAGCGAAGCTCTGTTAGCAAAGCAAAGCAGCTGCAACAGTTTTTAAATCCATTCTGACTCAAAGCAGAAGATGATGTGAAGATGAGATGATGATGTCACCAACGGCGTGTTTCCACCAAAGGAACCTCTTGTATCTCTGCCAACATGTAAGGAGTCATAGACCACCTGTATGTTTCTTTATGTCCAGAGAAATGTCTGATTTCAGTGTTTGTTTGCATGTTTTAAAATCCTCTAAAGATACTTTGAGTTGCTGGTTGTTCTACAGCAGATTATTTGGTTGCACTTATGATGTAATCAGAAGTAGAGATTCACAGACGAGCTGAGGAGGTCCTGAAGGAGGGAGTCGCTTCTTTCATTAAGAGGAAAAAATGTGAGCTTAACTTCTGCAAACTGGTTTAAGTTTTAAACCAACTAAACAATGAAGCTGCACTGATCAAATGAGATATTGCTGATTTGAAATCAGATATTAGGATCTAATCCTCTTCATTGTTATTTCCTTATTTTTGCTGATAATAAATAAATAACAAGAAGTACTTTACATCTTTATTTGTAAAACTCTAAGTTAAGAAAAATGAAAGGTTTCCATTTAAAATAAAATTCTGATCTTGGTGAAAGAAAATGAAGAAGTTTGGACCGAATGTTCAGACATTAGTTTCTGATGAAAGACGAGCGTCCCGCTTCGCCCCGATTCTCAGCACTATAATTATGAGGTTTGTTCCTTTCTCCTCCTTTCATTTCACTGAGCCGCAGAGCCAACATTACAGAGCGGCAACTGATTGCTATCAGGCAGCGCAGGTGGTTTCCCATAGAAGCAGATGTTTTCCACACCGCAAACACACAGATGTAAAGAAGAAAGGAAAGGCAGCGACTGACCAACACTTTCAGGAGACAAACCTTGGAGATAGAAGGTAGTTCAGAGGCTTGATTGGTTAGAAGAATTATACTCCATGTTTTATCTCCTTTAAAAGGAGAATTAGCGAGCTGACGCCAATGGAGACTAAAAAAGAAAAGGGTTAGGGTTAGAGGAAAAGCCTCATTGAAAAAAAAACATTTCATTTTAATAATTCTGGAAAAAATATTCCAGTTCATTGGGTCAATATTGAAGAACTCTGTCTATTGGGAAAGGAAAGTGCTGAAGAGTCAACAGATATTCAGCCGGCTTTAGATCTGGACTTTAAATAGGCCAGGATTCCTAGAGTTCAGGAGTCTGATGTGTTCTAGTTCCTGGTTCTACGCCTTCGTCAGGTCTCTGAATCACCTCCTTGGTCTGCAGTTCTCCAGAGTGATGACCTGATGCTCTGACTAAGGTGTGTTTAAGCAGAAAGATGCAGGAAATCAGACCTCAAGGCCCAGAACTCAGGTAACCTGGACACCATTTCTCTGCTGGGCTGTTTAGGGGGTTAATCCTCCCCCCTATCTACCCATAAACAATAGATTTAATGACACTAAATAGGGTGCACCATTACTAGGGCTGTAAATCACACCTATCATGGCCATTTCCTGACCCAATGATTCGATTATTTTCGATACTCAAGAATAAATAAACCACGATACCATTCAATTAATTGGTTAATTTTTTTTTACCTTTCAGGCTAGACAATGTTTAAAATTTAAAATAAATCAATGAAGGCTGTAATATCGTTATG